TCTGTGAAGGTTATTGTATGTTTTCTGGTTTGTTCTGATGTGAAAGCTTGGACAGAGTGTGATCCGTCGTGTGGAAGGAGGAATTCTTTGCATCTCTGGACTCATTTAAATATATTCAAAAGCCTAAAGTCTGAGGCCTGGTGCACGGCTGCAACCTTCTCATGCTCCTCAAAAGGCTTTCGGATCCAGTCTTTAGAATTGATAGAATGATAATCTTATTTAACCACTTAAACAGAAGCAAAAGAACTCTCCACGTCCAAACAAAGAGAAAGGACTCATTTGTAGATTTGAAAAGACACATGTTGTATTTTCACTCAAGAATCTAACGAATCTTAAACACAAAATTAATTATAAATATATTCTTATGTTTTGGTGTCACACAAAGTTTTTACACAGACCAACTAAAATCCATCCTTTTGATAAACCATTGTCAAAAAAACGTATTTGTGTTTACTAATGTTTTCTCACGACACACACATGCATTTGAAAGACAGGATTAGAGACGAGTTTGCAGCTAACATTTCATATTCTTCAAGATGTTTTGAGTCACTTTCAACAAAAATATATTTAATTCAATCCGTTCCATTTGTAAAACTACAACCAGAGAGATTCGCTGGAGGAGAACCGTTGAACCAATGACACTCAAGGATTTGAATCATTCTGACCAATCAGGAAGCAGTGTGGGTGATTATGGGCGGGTCTTCAAACATTTTGAAAAGTAACAATCCGGTCGTACAAGTTTATGGTAGTTTTTAACCTTAGCCTGAACCCAGAGACACCATTTTGGGATAATGTTGTATGTGTTATAGATGCATGGGTAAAAATAGGTGTAATCTGTATTTATTGTGGCCCTAAACAGTTGTAAATAGAGTGTTTATGGTTCCTGGTGTTATATAACTATAGTCAAACTGTAGCCATTATCATCCTCGTCTATATAGTGCTTAAAGTTATATGATCCTACGTATATAGCCACAAATTAAAACCAATCGCGTGTGTTCCATCAAATTAAACACAGAAAAATCGACTTGTGTTGGAGAAAGAACTAGTCTGGTCGTACCACACCATATTACTAATTTCACTTCGTACTAAGGTCTGGATTTGCCCCATTGACTCCGTTAACAGGTGGGAGGGGCTAACTCCTTTTATTGAAACCATTGGATCTGAGTTTACTGTGACGTATGTAATGAGCCCGAGTGATTAGTTAGCATTTAGCCTAGCTTTAGCCATCTCCTTTGCCGCTAACGGAGCCGTGGGGAGTAGCGCCACAATCTTTGCAGAGATTACATTTGCTAAACATTCCTCTTGCTCTGGCTTCAGTTTCTTGATAGAACCAGACCAGAATACTTTACTATCACATTCTTCGCCAAACTACGACCTTCCCGTTCGACGCAAACTCTTGACGTCTCCCACATCTAACTACAACACCCGCCTCCCGCGCTCTCTGATTGGTCGGATGGAATTCAACCGATTGTAAACGCAGACACAGGGACCAGACCCAGACGTTACCTGCAGGACATGATGATGGACCTGAGAGTACGGATGGATAAGACCAGGGTAAGAAAGAACTAAGCAAAGGACAGACTTTGCCTTATTTATCACAACATTTGGCTTAAGTATGAATTTGATTGATTATGTGTTTGCTTCAGCTCGTGCGCTATAACATCACAAAGACTGATCATTACAAGGAAAAGATTATTGAGCTGAAAATGGGCCAACTCTAAACTAATACGGCAGTAACGGCACCATAACATGAAAGCAAATAGAGCGACTTCTACTAGGGCTAAATACAACAACAAAAAGCAGAAGATGGGGCAGTTTTGTTAAAAATATGAATTCTATGGATCATAAAAATATAACTGAACGGCCTTTCTCTTTCTGAGCTCAAAACACAGTCGATCAAATCTTCCCTGAAGGCGTATGGAGCATTTTTAGTGGTAATATTATTGTGTTTTTCTCTCGTCATCGAGGGAAACATAAAAGTAATGTCAGACGTTAGACGCTCATAAATATCATGCTCGGAGAATTATTTATTTCTGTGAGAGTAGTTTGAAGTGACAGTAAAATTCCTGTAGAAAATCACTGGAGCGATAATGAAAGTGTGAGTCATGATAAACTCAGAACACGCCTCAGAGTCGTTTGTCACCGAATTGGGAACAAAAAATGCCAAAAGAATGTTGTAACTTTACAGACTGTGCGGCGGCAGGAACGCAACTGAAGTAGAAAACACTTTATGATATTTCACAAAGACATATTATGTAAATGGACTTTTTTAACTTAAACTGGTCACAACATTGTTCTCTCGTCAAAAAACAGACCTAGTTTAGGTTTATTTCCTCTTTAATTTTGTAGTTTGTTAAATCCCTGAGTCTTCTTTGGTTGTACTTCCTGTCTGATGTACCTGCCCCACCCTCAATCAAAAGTCCACAGCGGCTAAACTAGACGGGTCCAAAAATAGATATTCCCCTCAACATTGACACACGTGGAACGGAGCTTTGGACCAAGAACCACTTTTGGACCAAGACCCACTTTTGGGCCAAGACCCACTTTTGGACCAAGACCCACTTTTGGACCCCTCAACATTGTCACACGTGGAACCAAGACCCACTTTTGGACCATCCTGTAAAATCTGTTTTCAAGAGGTAAGAAGGAACGTACATTAGCATTGAATAATTCTTTTTCTGGGTGCACCCCCACAGGCCCGGGGTGGTATTGCAGCCTGTCAGCGCACGTCATTTTGGACATTTTTGAGCCGGGACCCGCCCCCACTGGTAGAAACAGTGATTTGGCTGGTTGTATTGTTTACCATTGACATATTTTGAGGTTTATATATTATTTCGCATACTAAAACAATAAATGACAACGTAAAATGTCCTGGCCAAAAAATAATGGTCAAAAATAACACAAATATCATAATATTTGTGTTGTGTTATATATGATATTATAACATTGTATTGTTTTGTATAGTATACGGTTTGAGAGCCAGGCATTATTTATTCATAAGAAAATATTAAAAGCATAGATTTTGTTTGTCCCAACGGAAAGACTCAAAGTAAAAACTTGTGAACCAATTAGACCACGGCATTCTGTCCTCACTTTGTGCACATTTGTGTAAATGGGCCCTGCCGCTCTTCGACGCTTTGGATTGAGAGCTGATTGGCTGAGAGAGGGTGGTCCTTTCTTTTCATTATAGGAGAAAAAGCACATTATATTCATGTGAAAACTAGTGTTAGACAGATTTTGTGGTTATAGAATTAGGCGCCCCAGCTTTAAATCTCTCTTTCTTCTTCATCCAGGCAGTAAAGTATCACCACTTTAACATGTGTTGTATGTTTTCCAACACATAAAAATCACTCAGTTTCTCTCAGAATTATAATGTTCACACATCTTCACGTTTGCTGCAGTATTTAGAATCTGCAACTTCCCTGAACGCTAAAAAGACCTTTTCTTTCGTGTCTGTTTTGAATTATTCTCCACTTCCTGAGAGCCCAAATGAAACTCAATCCGGGGCTGACATCTATATGAGGGGCTCTGCTGGCCCCCCTCTGGCCCACAGGCAGGCCCTCTCTCCTGGGGACATGCTGAGTCCATCTCCCCTCACATCTGCTGGAGGTGCGCCAAGCCTTCAGTCATTTCAGATCTGGCACCGGGTCCACTGTAGCGACTGTGGAAGGAAAACATTCAATCACAAACTTCAGAGTGACTTATGGCCAAAGTGGGCAGTGGTGATTGTAAATGTATGAACAGAAAATACAGGACGCAGCAGCACTTTAAACTAGAACTAGTCGCATTGTCACTCTCCACGGTCTAAATATAGATGCAGTGCTGTGGAAATAGAACATTGTTTGAACCCATTGTCAAGTGTGATCAAAGTAATGTGTAAATGTGGCGATGCTTAAGTAGATCAATATCATATCATATCATCATTCCACGATCGTGCACTTTTTCCTCAATAATAATAACAATAATAATGCATTGGTTTTATACAGCGCTTTTTTTGGACTCTCAAAGATGCTTCACATACACGGTGGTGATAAACTACAGCTGCCCTGGGGCACACTGACAGAAGTGAGGCAACCAGTCTTTGCCATCAGCCCCTCCCACACACCCCAGACTCATTCTAATGTGGGGGGAGTGTAAGTAAGTAATCTTTATTTATATACCTTTATTTATATATTTATATATTTGAGATCTGAGTCTCAAAGCAGTTTACAATTGTTAATTTTGGGCATTTGTCTCTCACTCCACACAGAGATGGGAGCGGAGTCGCCAGTACAGGAGGCACATGCCAGAACTATTAGACACATTTTTAAACCTACGCACACACGGGGAGAACATGCAAACTCCACTCAGAAAGGCCCGGATCCGAATGGGATGCAAACCCAGGACCTTCTTGCTGAGAGGCGAGAGTGCTAACCACTCAGCCACCGTGCTGCCCAAGGACACAACAAGTGAATGGCACTTTCCCACCGCAGCCACCCCATTTTGGCAACTGCTGTTCTCAGAGGTCTCCCATCACAGCACTGGCCCAGCACAGCCCAGCACAGCTTCAGAGGTCTGACAGGATTTGGCTTTTACATGCAAGTATGGCCTAGACGTAAACAATCTAAAGCACAGTGAGACTTGTTCTGTTTTCATCTAGCACAGAAAAGCCTCAGCGAACAAATATAAAATGTTCTTATCTTGGGCCAGCTTTTCTTATGATCAAAATAATAAACGAGAAATAAACTGAATCAAAACTGAACATTTACAAAAACTCCTCTCTTCGAATAGCAATGTGTGTAATTATCATTAATGCATGTAATGAGCTCATTAGATACTGACAAGACGGCAACAGACTTATAATACTCTGTTTGTCTCGTGAACAACAAGGAGACACAAAACACAAAACTGCAAAAAGATGGATTTAATAATAAGTAAAACAAGATCCAGTAAAAAGACAGAGACCGAGGAAAAGAACAGAATCAGACGAGGAACGACAAAGACGGAACAGGAAGTGAAGACTAACGAGACACAGGTGAGACACATGAGGGCGGGGCAGGAACATGAGGGCGGGGCAGGAACATGAGGGCGGGGCACGTAGATGAGGGCGGGGCACGTAGATGAGGGCGGGGCAGGAACATGAGGGCGGGGCACGTAGATGAGGGCGGTGCAGGAACATGAGGGCGGGGCACGTAGATGAGGGCGGGGCGCGTAGATGAGGGCGGTGCAGGAACATGAGGGCGGGGCACGTAGATGAGGGCGGGGCACGTAGATGAGGGCGGGGCACGTGGATGAGGGCGGGGCACGTAGATGAGGGCGGGGCACGTAGATGAGGGCGGGGCAGGTAGATGAGGGCGGGGCACGTGGATGAGGGCGGGGCACGTAGATGAGGGCGGGGCACGTAGATGAGGGCGGGGCAGGTAGATGAGGGCGGGGCACGTAGATGAGGGCGGGGCACGTAGATGAGGGCGGTGCAGGAACATGAGGGCGGGGCACGTAGATGAGGGCGGGGCAGGTAGATGAGGGCGGGGCACGTGGATGAGGGCGGGGCACGTGGATGAGGGCGGGGCACGTAGATGAGGGCGGGGCACGTAGATGAGGGCGGGGCAGGAACATGAGGGCGGGGCAGGTAGATGAGGGCGGGGCAGGTAGATGAGGGCGGGGCACGTGGATGAGGGCGGGGCACGTAGATGAGGGCGGGGCACGTGGATGAGGGCGGGGCACGTAGATGAGGGCGGGGCACGTGGATGAGGGCGGGGCACGTAGATGAGGGCGGGGCACGTAGATGAGGGCGGTGCAGGAACATGAGGGCGGGGCAGGTAGATGAGGGCGGTGCAGGAACATGAGGGCGGGGCAGGTAGATGAGGGCGGGGCACGTGGATGAGGGCGGGGCACGTGGATGAGGGCGGGGCTGGTAATCAGGAAACAGGAAGTAGAACCGAAGAAGACACAGGGATTTAACAAACTACAAAATAAAACAAGAAATAAACCTAAACCACAACAGTTTAAATCTGATCTGATTTTAAACGTATGCGTCTGTCGATTTTAGAAAAACCTGGTCCTGACTGATGCTCTTTAAAGGTATTTCCACGCTCACTGGTTCCTCCATCGTTACTTCGCTAAAACCGGCTGCTATTACTCTCCAGTTTCCCGATAACCATTCTCTTTACTGCTCCTGCTCAGAGTCAATATTTAAGATTGTGTGACTCCATAATTATAAGGACGTTTATGTTTGTGATGACGCAGCCAAATGTCAGCGTCCATTGTGGTCAAAATAAGAAAAGTACGATATACGTTGTTGGGTTGTGACAAAACCCAGTAGAAATGCGCTATATAAATAAGCATTACTCACTTACAGAAATGTCAACCATCTGCACCAGGCATGTCAAACTCAGGCCCGTGGGCCAAATAAGGCCTGTGGGACCATGTTTAGTGGCCCCTGAATTGATTTTCAATAACCATTATAATAGCAGCTTGCAGCATTGACGGTACTGCCAAACTATGGTACGTTATACTTTATTTTAAAGCCTATTGTCTCAGGAAAACAACCTCACCATTGATTACATTCTAAAATGGCAACTAAAAATGAAATAGAGTAAAGTTACTTATTTTTTACTCTTTTATATCTAAATATTAACCTTCTAAAACATCTCTTCTTGATATTTCAGTTGTGGTTGAATCCAAACATAGAAGAAGAATATGTCCAACTCATACAATCATTTGTCAAAGATTTGTAAATGAAAAATATAAAATTAAATTAAATATATCAATTTTTTGGTCTACAACAAGAGACTTTTGAGCGGTGTTTCTGTGAACCGTCTTAGCATATTAATTGATATCGTCAGCTTTTATAATAACTATAGTTTTATGTTGGTTTGTTTTCAGTCTATCTTTATGAAGTTTCCAGTTGTTCTAACACAACACTCTTTGTTGAAGTGGTCCGTGCCGAGCCGTGCCCTGACAGTCCAGCCCGAGTCCACAGGGATCCGTCATCTCCAAACTCCCATTTTTCCTTCTTTTAGACCAGAAATGACTGATTTTCACCTTTATTTGTGTCACAGCCGGGTGAGTATGGACAAAAGACATACAAAATGGTCACTTCAACTCACTGAAAAATCTACAAAGTATTCTCTGCTTCTCTATGTCTGGAGACCGTACTTCTCAATCCTTATGTCAATATTAGCTTTCGACAGACAGACAGACAGACAGACAGAGACAGACAGACAGACAGACAGAGAGACAGAGACAGACAGACAGAGACAGACAGACAGAGAGACAGAGACAGACAGACAGACAGAGACAGACAGACAGACAGAGACAGACAGAGAGACGGAGACAGACAGACAGAGACAGACAGACAGAGAGACAGAGACAGACAGACAGACAGAGACAGACAGACAGAGACAGACAGAGAGACGGAGACAGACAGACAGAGACAGACAGACAGAGAGACAGAGACAGACAGACAGACAGAGACAGAGACAGACAGACAGACAGAGAGACAGACAGACAGAGAGACAGACAGAGAGACGGAGACAGACAGACAGAGACAGACAGACAGGGAGACAGATACAGTGTCAAAATATCTACGTTGACACACAAAAATACTTCCATGTCTGGTCTAAAAGCAGGACAGGAAAACAATACTCTGGCAACGAGACGACTTCAGACTCACACGGCTCTGACATTAGTGGGATATCGTGCACATTTCTATCACCAGGGGTTTGTGGAGATCAGAATCGTTGTAGTCCATGAGAATAGACTTTCCCATGAGCGTTTGTGATGTGATCGTGCAGTAGCCGGGGTCAGGCAAACAAAGACACACCTGGACACAATAGTTGCTCTGTTTGGTCAATGAGACGCAGCTGCACAGGTAGTTTCACCGAGAGGGTCGGACTAAACTAATCTTTTTCTTTTATTTTATTTTACTAGCCTGGTCGTACCACACGATAGTACAAATTTCGTACTAAGGTCTGGATTTGCTCCATTGACTCCGTTCACAGGTGGGAGGGGCTAACTCCTTTTGCAGATTGAAACCATTGGATCTGAGTTTACCGCGACGTGTGTAATGCGCTCAAGTCTGTAGTTCGCATTTAGCCTAGCTTTAGCCATCTCTTCTGCCGCTAACGGAGCCCACGATTTTTCCAGTTATTACATTTGCTAAACATTCCTCTTGCTCCGGCTTCAATTTCTTGATAGAACCAGACCAGATTACTTTACTATCGCATTTTTCGCCATCACCAAACTACAACCTGCCCGTTCAGCACAAACTCTTGACGTCTCCCACAACTAACTACAACACCCGCCTCCCGCGCTCTCTGATTGGTCGGTCGAAATTCAACCGATTGTAATCACAAACACAGGGACCAGACCCAGACGTTACATGCAGTGAATGATCATGGACCTGAGAGTACGGATGGATAAGACCAGGCCAGGACTAAACAGACTTTCAAAGCAACCTTACGATATTTATTTGGATGTATAGAATATGTAATTAGATGCAAAATATACTGTATGTCAAAATTAGTTGGGGCGACAGTGGCTCAGTTGGTAAAGCATTGGTCTCTGGAACAATGGTCGTGGGTTCGATCCTTCACCTGCTCCCATTGATGTCTGCTGTCGTTGTGTCCTTGGGCAAGACACTTAACCCCACTTTGCCTGAAGTCCCCGCTGAAAGATCAAGGCTGTGTCTGTGTTGAAGGAGCAGCCATCTTCCATGGGACCCACCCCCTGCAGAGGATCAGAGGGACTGGTGCTTTGAGCATTGGGTGGCAGCTCGGATCGCCACCCCCCCTGACCCAGAAATGAATAGAAACGAATGAATGAATACTTCTAAAAAAAAATCAAGATTCAGCAAAAATACAGGGCCTGAGCACAAGAACAGAAACAGAGGGCGGGGCAGGTACATGAAGGCAGGTAAATGAGGGCGGGGCATGTTATCAGGAAACAGGAAGTTCAACTAAAGAAGACACAGGGATTGAACAAACTACAAAATAAAACAGGAAATAAACCTGAAGCATGACATTAGACTGGTCATGTGTAGCTTCAGGTCATGGCGTCTTGGATCATCCTGGATTCAACTGAATTATAGACATCATTCTGAACAAAAAAAATGTATTGATTCCCGATGATATCGTTGATATAAATACAGAGTCTACACAGTGAGTGAATGGAATCTGGATCTGGGCTTTAATGTGGCTTAAATATGTCTTTGTTGAGGCCCGCAGCTCGAGGTGGACTCCAAACAGAGTCAGGTGGAAATGAATGGTATAATTTTCGAATGACTTTTCTCCATTTTGTTTTGGATTTTAAGAAAATTCACAACTTCCAATTCAAGTTAGATAAAAAAAGTGTTTTTAAAAGATTAATAGAAATGTATAAAGTTAAAATACATGTTCATTATTGAAGCAGAGCTAAATGCATCCTCGTCAGGCTCCGATGCGCCCCCAGCCTAAAAGCAGTCTGCACAGTGACATGTTGCTTATTTATTATTTTTTGCTTTTTTCTCCAGGCCACTTTAGTTGCATCAGTGTAGAACAGAAACAGGCTGTGGCAGGATTTGTCTTGTTGTGTTCAGTTAAAGCAGCAGTAAGCGATTTGGTCGTTTCCGGCAGTTTCTTCTGCCTGAGCGAGTTAGTAGCCCCGCCCCCGTCCCTACGTCACGCCACATGAACGCGCATCGTGTTGGTGATGACAGCAGCATGTTCATCTCCGTCGGGTCTACTCGTAAGTATATTAACAACAAACTCTGGGAGTGAAATATTAGCATAGAATAGCTCAGTTGTAACCTAGCTATAACACTGGAAGCAGCTTGGTGTTAGCTAGGATAGCATCACTAAGAAAGAGATAAAAACAATCCAGTCTTTTATAGAATAATACTGCTTTTATAGTTGGTACACTGATAACTGTTGTGATAAACATAATGTTGCAGATTGCAGTGTGACGTGTCTCAACATTATGCACTGTAACATCTGTTACAGTGCATATGTATTAGATGAATGTAATGCATATACATTACAACAACAAAGCTTTACATGAAGGTTATTTAAAGTAATACATTACTGCTACTTATTTCCTCACAATTTGTATATTTGGAGTTCTTTATAGACAACACTGTAGTAATGTATTATGTGAAAGTAAAGCTGCATCTCACTGGAAGCTGCCTTCTCAATGTCACAAAATAAAGATACATTTATTGATGTAATCAACATCTGTATTATGTGCTTATTGTTCAGAGAATGAAGACAAAATCAAAGTGTATCAGAGCTGTACAGTGAGATGTGGGACTGAAAAACAATTCCAGTAAAGCTTGTCCAAAACGCAAAAGTACTGTCATAACTAATTACGTTACACTATTACACTGTAAGGAAACCACTTTGAAAGAAAAGCTACAAGTAACAGAATATATAAAGTCATTTGTCATAACGGTTCTTTCAGGAAGCACTGAACGCCCTCTGTCCAGAGAAGCTGATGACCAGATCCTTTCCCTGATGCGTCTGTGAAAGGTGCCAACAGACATTGAAAACGTGCTCGTCCTCAGCGGCCCCCATGGTGCACGTCCTCAGCGGCCCCCATGGTGCACGTCCTCAGTGGCCCCCATGGTGCACGTCCTCAGTGGCCCCCATGGTGCACGTCCTCAGCGGCCCCCATGGTGCACGTCCACTCTGCAGTTCTGAAATATGTTTGTAGATGTACTATTTCAAAATAAAAAAAAATACATTCACCTCTTTCAATGTGCTTTGTTTTATAGTAGGAAAACAAATACAGTCTGTAACGAGTCTAAGAAACTTTATTATGTAAAAGAAGATTTGAAGTTATAGCCGGAAAAATATACACAATGTCCCTACTAAGACAAATAATTACAAGTGATGGTAAGGCAACGTTTGTGTTATCACTTTTTGCTCAAATGAATAACACTGTTATTATTCAGGTCCTTATCCATCGCTGCTGCAGCGAACACTATCAGAGATATCTAACAAAATGTTAATCTTTATGTTGTAGCTTGTTTGAACACATTTCCTCAAAATAATTCATAAGCAGCCACGCACACACAGCCACAAGCACACACAGCCACAAGCACACACAGTCACAAGCACACACAGCCACAAGCACACACAGTCACAAGCACACACAGCCACAAGCACACACAGTCACAAGCACACACAGCCACAAGCACACACAGTCACAAGCACACACAGCCACAAGCACACACACACACAGTCACACACACACACAGCACACACAGCACACACAGCCACAAGCACACACAGTCACAAGCACACACAGCCAAGCACACACAGCCACAAGCACACACACACACAGTCACACACACACACAGCCACAAGCACACACAGTCACAAGCACACACAGTCACACGCACACACAGTCACACACACAGACAGCCACGCTTCAGGGGCCCAGGTTGAAGGAACTGGAGTCTTCCTCTGGCAGAGATTTTCCTTTGAAACATAATAGAAGAGACATCAGTTTTATCTTCTCAAATATGACTTTGATATATTCATCATCAACATCATCAGTATTTATTGATCACCAGGAGTGGCCCCTGATCTACAACAGTAGTATTTATTGATCACCAGGAGTGGCCCCTGATCTACAACATCAGTATTTATTGATCACCAGGAGTGGCCCCTGATCCACAGGATCCTTGAACATGTTTATTTGGACTGTGAGAGACTGCATTGTGAGAGAAAGACACTTACATCGGCTGTTTTGGGAGTCGAGTGATTATCTCACTCCTCTTGATTGTTGAAGAAACTCAGCGACAGTTTTGTCAACACTGACTCCTGGAACATGATCGATATTCATTTTGGACCTCAGGGCAGCAACACAACTGTAGGGATGAACGACACACACATCACAACATCATTATCATAATCACTGCGTCCCATATATGCATTCACAACAACCTACATGACAAATGTGGGGTGTAAAGTCTTCCTCAGGAGATGACAATGGCCGATCTTCTAATTCTGGAAGCAAAGTCTTGTCTTCAGTCAATACTAGAGAAAGAAGAGGTCAGCAGAAAAGTATCTAGTCGTTATGGCATTGGTTTTTTTTTAAATAGTTATTTAACTTGCATTATGGAGGCTTTTGAACTCTTGTACATTGAAGACCTCATTCCAATTGATTTAGGCCATACTGGAAAAGATACAGAGAAAAGAATGCAATGAAGACATGTAAATTATTACAATGTCTATATTATATCATGCTCATAATTTATTTGGTAGTAGTCAGCAAGACTTTTCTTACTTATTCTCAATACATAATAAAAATGTATGTAGTGGTCACGGAAGTTAGATTTGAGGTAAAGAGATATTGTTTTTATAACAATAAAACTAATATACAGAGTGCAAGTTGCAAAACTTAGTCATTGAAGAATGAAATGCAGACCTACATATATATAAATATTATATATATATATATATATATATATATATATATATATATAATATATATATATATATATATATATATATATATATATATATAGTGCAAGCAACTATGTTTATTGGCAAAAACAAACGATTCATACAGATCAGAAGTGTTCGTAGCAGCCACATCATATTCACAACTACAGACAGCTAATGCTAACAGCTAACGCTAATGCTAACAGCGAACGCTAATGCTAACAGCTAACGCTAATGCTAACAGCTAACGCTAATGCTAACAGCTAACGCTAATGCTAACAGCTAACGCTAATGCTAACAGCTAACGCTAATGCTAACAGCTAACGCTAATGCTAACAGCTAACGCTAATGCTAACAGTTAACGCTAACAGCTAACGCTAATGCTAACAGCGAACGCTAATGCTAACAGCTAACGCTAATGCTAACAGCTAACGCTAATGCTAACAGCTAACGCTAATGCTAACAGCGAACGCTAATGCTAACAGCGAACGCTAATGCTAACAGCTAACGCTAATGCTAACAGCTAACGCTAATGCTAACAGCTAACGCTAATGCTAACAGTTAACGCTAACAGCTAACGCTAATGCTAACAGCGAACGCTAATGCTAACAGCTAACGCTAATGCTAACAGCTAACGCTAATGCTAACAGCTAACGCTAATGCTAACAGCTAACGCTAATGCTAACAGCGAACGCTAATGCTAACAGCGAACGCTAATGCTAACAGCGAACGCTAATGCTAACACCACTTCACGGGGGAACTCTGGTGATATGGTCATTTAATGTTGTACATGTGGGGAACTAATAATTGACCGGAGTTTATGGATGGCTGAGGCTGGGCTAAGGCTTCGATGTTGTGTTGTCTGTTGTTGTTTCTCAAAGCTAAGCCAAGGTAATGCGCAGTTATTGCCACAAAATGCGGCCGTATTTCTACAACAGCTGGGGATTTTTAACTAGCTAACTTGGTGAAAGCCCGCATTACAGTCTCAGGCAACAATATGTATAAATAATACAACTACTACTGCCACTACTGAGTAACATGCTCACCTGTTCAGTCGGAGAGAGGAATCCACGGAGCTAGAGGTCGCCAACATGAGTGCAGCTGGTCACCATGTTGCTCCTACTTTTTGTCGTTCCTCTGTTTCTGGCGTTTTGCCTGTATTTAATAATCCATCCATGGTATTTAGTCTGCAGCAGCGCTGGAGGCGGCTTTTCCTTCTCCGCCATGTTTGTTTTGAAGAGTGCGCGTGCACACACGGGAGAAACCCCTTATAAGGCGTGCTCTCTCGTCATTGGATAAGCGCATAGGATGTGAGGTTTTTTTATTAAATAGGTGGGAGAAGACTGGAAGGACTGAGAGATCCGTGTTTAGGTACAAACACTCTATATAAGTGATGGCTATTGGAATATATCAATATTTAAGACGTATATTAACACCCAAAAATCGCTTACTGCTGCTTTAAAGGAGCAGTGTGTAAAAGTGTGGCCAAAAGTGGTACTGCAGCCTCTCCCACTCTCCCTGACTCAGGTTGCCAGATATGCAGACGAATCCATTCATAAATGTGAATAACTGTTCATAAATGTCCTGAAAATTCTACTTTATTTAAAAACACCTTGATTTTTTTCCTCTGCCATTCACCTCAATAACCCCCACAGTGACACATATTTGTAATAATAAAAATAATAATGTATAGGTTTTATACAGCGCTTTTTTGGACACTCAGAGACGCTTTACATGTCATGTTCATGCTCTCCAAACAGATTATACAAACACAGTGGTGATAAACTACTACTGTAGCCACAGCTGCCCTGGGGCACACTGACAGAAGCGAGGCCACCAGTCTGTGCCATCAGCCCCTCCCACCACCACCAACCACTCACACACACACACCAGACTCATTCTAATGTGGGGGAAGTGTCTTGCCTAAGGACACAACAGCAGTTTCGCACTTTACAGCCGCCCCACTGTGGCACCTGCTGTTCCCAGAGGTTAAGTGTCTTGCCCAAGGACACAACCACAGTAAACATCAGTGGGAGTCGGTGGACCGTGCAGGTTTAGTCTCATTTAGCATTATCTAAATACAGTAGTTTCCTTCATCAGAGGCTTTTTGCTGCATTATGGACCGGGGCCAGTCTCAGAAATGTGCTGACAGGAGTTCAGGCGGTGGTCTTGGAGGCCGGCGCTGCACTCAGAATATAACAATCATCTTCTACGACCGAGACCGTACTTATTGTTACGTGATTATACATTACACAGTCATATAAGATTTAACAGAATACAGAAAACATACATAGACAAATAAATAAGGTGCTCAGATCCCTGACATTACCCCCATTTAGCCTGAGAGTGAGTGAAGAAATGTAGATTGTAGAACTTGTTTGCACCGAGAGCCAAGGCCACTTCCTGGTTTGTGACGTCCTGTTGCTCACATGGCAATGGAATGATTCTGATTCTGACTCTGAGTGATCGCTGTGGACTGTCAATCAAAAAGGTTTCAAACTTGTGCACAGCAACAGCTTATCTCTCTCTCAATGCCATCGTAATATTACCTTCTACTTCTATTCTATATTGTCTCTCTTGGATCTCAAAAGACATTCTAAAGTGAAAAATTGTATTACAAAAGTGAAAACGAGAGTCCAGATCCCGCTCTCGTCGTTATATAAGTTGCACAGAACTGATTTCTCACTCGGTCATGTGACTTCAGAGCGCTCCACAGCCATAATCTGATCCTGGTCTGGTCCTGGTCTGGTCCTGGTCTGGTCCTGGTCTGGTCCTGGTCTGGTCCTGGTCTGGTCCTGATCTGGTCCTGGTCTGGTACTGGTCTGGTCCTGGTCTGGTCCTGGTCTGGTCCTGGTCTGGTCCTGGTCTGGTACTGGTCTGGTCCTGATCTGGTCCTGGTCTGGTCCTGGTCTGGTCCTGGTCTGGTCCTGATCTGGTCCTGGTCTGGTACTGGTCTGGTCCTGGTCTGGTCCTGGTCTGGTCCTGGTCTGGTACTGGTCTGGTCCTGGTCTGGTCCTGGTCTGGTACTGGTCTGGTCCTGGTCTGGTTCTCTGTTCAGTCCCGGCTCCACGTGAATGCTTTAGTTAAAATAGTAGTAATAATCTCTAATGCTTTGTGGATATGATGACAACAGAGCATTATCACGGCACTCTGGGAAAGTAGATTAACCTTGACCCGCCTCGTTTGCTGAGCCCGAGTTGCACAGATCAAAAAAATGAAAGCCAACCAAAACTGTCTTGAACAAAAATGCAAAAAGTTGCAGAGTCTCACCCAGTGCTGGTCATGTCTCGGTGCTGCCAGGGGCCTGAAGGAGTCCGGTTTGGGGACCACAGGATTCTATCTCTGCTTTGGCCATGTTGTTCTGTTTGCTTCATTTAAGGCAGGGGACTCCAACCTGTAGCTCGCCAAAGGATTTAGAATAAAACAAATCATATAATATACTTAATAATTCAGATTGTACTATTCATCATCATTATTTGTTGTTGTAAATGGACTTACTTTATGCACTAGTAACAAATACGTGATCATAAATATTGGCTGTACACGATATCAGGCTCGTTCACACTGATATATCGGGAAAGTAGCTCTCTGACTCTGACTCAAAAAGGTTGGAGACACCTGACTTAAGGACTTCCAACCTGCAGAGGAAGGCACTGCGCCGGACCGTGAAGGAGCTGAGTCCAGGGTTCTTCACCAGAGAAAAAGAAGAAGGAGGAGAGGTCCATCCTCGCTGTTTTTCAGGTGCCGCTGTGTGACAGGAAGCTGGACATTCATGGACATCGGTCTCTCCAAATGGACAAATACATATGTGGTCTTTATCATCTGTGTCTTAACTGTTAATTCTCTAATCTGTGTCCGTGATTTCAATGGGTTTGTTTCAAGAGCAGTCTGTAAAAAATGTGGCCAAAAGTGGTACTGCAGCCTCTCCCACTCTCCCTGACTCAGGTTGCCAGATATGCAGACGAATCCAGCTGGGACCATAACAGCTGAATAGACAGAGTTTTGTCAACAACAAATCTATAACCAACACCTTTTTCACAAAGATAGAAATCCTGGTTTTATTCCTTGTTTTGTCGTTAATGATTTGAGAATCATAACGAGACCTTTTTTTAGTTCTGCGCCACATGGTACTTTACCAGTGAGATTAGCTCCACACGGTGAGTTCTGGCGCCCGGATCACAGACTTTCTGATTGGTGAAACGGTGGAGGGCGGGAAAATCTGTAACTATTCCAATTCCATCTTGTATGAAGAACATTTCTGTATAACTCTTAAGTTAGATTTCCCATGGTTCTACTGAATATGTTTTATGGCAGTTAAAGTTAGAGTTATTTTGAGAAAGGTAAAAGGAACCTATATCTGTTCACAAACTAGTGTATGTCGAGTTGTTTTAATATGTACTAATAGCGTGGAAGTAACTTTGCAGAAGTACAAAACCCATACACTACAAAAGTATTCAACCTTTAATGTCATATTCACATTAATGACGACAGGATTTATTCTGTAAAGGCCCCTGAGACCCTTTGGCCTATGAGGGGCCATCAGCTTTGGTGGATGCACAATATGTTTTGTATTGTTTTGGGATCAAGTAAATACATGAACAAATTATCTATTGATTTAATTACCAATCAGAAAGTCTGTGATCCGGACCGAGCTGATCTCACTGGTAAAGTACCACGTGGAACTCTTTGATATTGATTATGTTGCTTCAGCCAACCAACCTTCTAAACCTTGTGTATTTATTATATTATTCTGTTAATGCTGGTTTCTATTCTAGAATAAATGAAATGTTTGAGAGGGACACGTGTGCACAATAAGTGACACATTTACAGCCAATCATCCGGTTTACAAGGTGCGTCCCTGAAAGGCCTGTTTTTACATTACATTTGCATTATTCATATTTCATCAAGTCTTTCAATCAACATGAAACTTCCAGCTGTGTTTCCGGCAGAAAGTCAGAGCTGAGCCAACAAAAGGAGGCGGCTTCCAGGACTGGTAAAACCTGAAAATCAGATCTGAAACTGGGAGCACATTAGGTCTCGGCTCCTTCCCATTAGGGACGTCACTAATTACATTTATAATTAGAAACAGTGATGAGACCCTTTATGAAAAGTTTTAGAATAAACGTAAAATGAGAAAATAAATTGTGTTGATAATAATTGCCTTAATAGAATTGTAAGTAGGCCAACATTTAAGATACAGCATTGTCTGAGATATTCTTAATAAATCTAAAATAAATATAAAAAGTATATCAAAAAGAAGTTTTGATAAGAGTATATAGGATTAAAAATATTGGGTTCCAAATTACAATACACGCATGCGCTCGTTGTGATTATGCTGCCTTCACTAAAGTTCGTAAATTTGTAAATCCACCAGATTCCTTTACTGTAATTAGATACTTAGATAAATTAATGTAAATAATAATAATAATAATTTGGATAATATGTATTGTTAATGGGCTTATGTTTTTTTTTTTTTTATCTTTAAAGGTAATGTGTATTATGAATGTGGGTACCAATAATAATGAGTAAAAATAAAAAAATAACAGATACGGTAAACTACAATAATGTATATCAGCCTTAAAAAAGAAACACAAAGTTACCATAAAAACGTATGTATTTAGTGTTTTCAATTATACTACATTTTAATTAAAGGGGTAAAGAAAAAACACATGTAGTGAGTTTGAGTTGTCTATTTTCCGACGGTACGTGAAGGGCGCACGGAGAGAAACACAGCAGACAGCAGCGGCTCGGGCTCAGAGAAGTCCTTTAACTAGTCTCCAACGCACCAGCGACTTTCCACAGACTCTATTTGTGGAATAAAGACACAGGACGTGATAAAATCCAGCTCCAATCACGAGGACAGCGATTTCAGACTTGTTTTTGTATTTTCTTTACGCGCAGGAAATCAGGAGGAAACACCTGAAGTGAGTTTGGGACAACAGGACGCGCGTTTACAGGCTCTGGGGCAGTCACTGTGGCTCTTTCATTGTGATTATTGAAGCAGATACAACATGAAGACGTGGATATTGCAGAAATAAGGTAAACCGCGATGCGTAAAGGACGGAGCGCGTAGTGCGGAGCCGTGGGGATGTCGTGAACGCTGCTGCACGCGTTTATACTTCTGCGTACACGTAAAAGTTTCTTCCATGGTCTCGGATCGACTCCTATAAACTCTCAGCGGTGAACTTGTGTTATCCTGTTGCTGGGACTGCTCCAGACTGTTTACCATGGCCAGGAAAAGCCACTGGAGCTCCAGAGTGACCGAGTCCGCCGTGGGGAAAGACGCCCGCGGGGACCTGCACGTCGCGCTGCGGGGGGGCGCGGAGCACGGGGAGTTCGCCTACATCGGCCCGGTCAATAACGCGGAGGTGATTTACCACTACGGGACTGTCGTGGAGGATGAACTACTGCTGGAAGTGGAAAACCTGTCTATTTCTGGATTACCGCTTTACGACGTGTACACGGTCATAAAGAACTGCAAAGGTCCAGTCAGGTTGAAAACTGTAATACAAGGTAAGTTATTCTTCTCTAGTTCTTATGCCCCACACAAGCTGTTTCTTTTTGGCCAATTGCTCACTTTTACTGATGTGGACGCAGTTCTGGAGGCTTGGGAGTGCTGTCGTTGTTGCTGTAATTGGCCCATAAAGTGTTTCCCAGAGTGAGGAGAGAACACACCCACTGGAGCTGAGGTTTTACTTGAATAACATAACCACAACATTACACTATGGCTCCTCGCTTCCTGGTTTGTCACTCATAAAAACCCATAAAGTAATGTGCCACCTGTCCCTTCACACCTTATTTACACAACCAGCATGTCCTACTGTCAATACTGCCACAGCAAACACCACTGTCCTCCGGAGCAGGGCGTAAGCAGCCAGCAGTGTTAGTGGTGGCATTTTTATAAACTATTTGGTCACCTATGGTCTTTCAGTGGGACATGATCAGTCATCATCATGTATGGGTGATATAAGCACTAGCACTACACTCAAAGCTGACCACCCAGAACACACTTTTCACTAAAACAAGAACTAGAAGTATTAATTTTATAATATTTTCTTACTTCAAGAATTGGCAGGTCAAGATGTCAATGGGTTGCTTAAGTTTTTAGATGCAGGAAGCTTAAACATATAAACGTATAGATCCCAAACAAATAGGATTGTCTGATTCAAACTTGTCGCACACAAAATTCACAGGCAGTGGACCCTTTGTCAGAAAAGTACCATAACTTGTAAATAGTGATCAGTGTGATTATGGCACATGAAGGGACCTCTCCGTTCACACATTTATACTTCAGTATCGCAGACTGTGGTAGCTCCATGAAGCCAAATCATGGGGAACAGTTTGGCTCCTTCTCATTTTGCTCTTCTTCACTTGTATTGACAGTGTAGTCTTCTGGCTCTGTGGTCGTGGCGTCACACCCGACATTTCCCTTGATCATCTTTGCCTAGCTCGTGGTTGGACCTGACATTGGGGCAGCCTGCTCCTGATTGGTTCTTTGGGGCAGCCTGCTCCTGATTGGTTCTTTGGGGCAGCCTGCTCCTGATTGGTTCTTTGGCTCCAGAGGCCACACATGGAGCCTGTTTGAGTTGCCTCTAATTGTCTTCTTCTGTTATAAGTCAAACACAAACGGTGATGCCCCATCGTGGCGGCCAAGTGTTTATACAAATGTGGTGTATGGTACGGTACGGTATGGTATTGTGTATATACCATACAATACAGCACATATATAAACACTTGTATGTATGGTATGGTATTGTATGGTATGGTATGGTCTGATATGGTATGGTCTGATATTGTATGGTATGGTATGGTCTGATATGGTATGGTCTGATATGGTATATACCAGACCATACAATATCATACCATACCATACTATACCAAACTATACCATATCATATCACATCATATCATATCAGACCATACCATACCATACAATATCAGACCATACCAAAGCATATCATACTATATCATACCGTATATGATATAGTATGATATGCTTTGGTATGGTCTGATATTGTATGATATGATGTGATATGATATGGTATAGTTTGGTATAGTATGGTATGGTCTGATATTGTATGATATGGTCTGGTATGGTATGATATGATATGATGTGATATGATATGGTATAGTATGGTATGGTATGGAATGGGGCTGCACAATATTGGAAATTTGAGCGATATATCGATATTGGTGTTTATTTCAATAATATCGCAATATTATATTTTTGTCTTTTACCTAAAATTGCAATCTGCTTTGAAACACAAGCGACCAATAATACATTGTGTTTGTTTGTTGTTCTTGTTGAATGTTCAAATCCCAAAAATCAAAATCTCATCTTGTATAACTCTTTAATTTTGTTTTGTTTATCCACGATCCACAGCGACCAGTCCGTTCTCTGCTCTTAACTGAACAATGACAAACAGGAAACTTGAACTTAGGTTTAAAATTAGCCGTAGTTATCGCACTCCACCTTTCAGAACAACATCCTGCCCCTTTACTGCCCCCAGCCTGATGTTGGACAATGGCCGGAAAGCTCTCCTTACGTTCAGCCACCGAGGGTCCCACAGAGCCCGTCCTGTTCGGGGACCCTGCCTCACACCCCAGGCCTTGTGCAAGACCATTTCAGTTTTGTAAATAATTCACACTCTATAGGAACTTCCTAATCAGGCTTAAAGATGCAGTCAGGGATTTTTTTCCAGACGCAAACGTCCCTAAACCGTTATCATGTGTTTTCAAATAGTAATGGAATTGACCAGATGTCTATAGTCTCCAAAAATTAATAACAAATATTTTTGGAGCGGGCAGATAAAATTAAACCAATGGGATTCGTTCATCCCCAACGAACCAATGGGATGTGTTTACCGCCTTCACCCTCTTCCTGTTTCTCTGAGTGCACCGGAGTTATCGGATTTTCTAAAACTGCAAAGAATCTTTAGGCAACACAAAATCCCTGTGTATTTCGAACCTTTCAACACGTTAAGACAGAAATTAGTGCATCCCAAAGACAAAACACCCAGACACAAACAGAGCAATGTGGTGTATTCAATTAAATGTAGTGAAGAGGAGTGCACTGACCACTATATTGGAGAAACCAAACAGACTCTACAGAAACGACTTTACCAACATCGTAGAGAAAACTCTAGTGGGCCACAGTCGGCTGTTCATCTCCACCTCAAGGCCTCCAACCACACGGTGGATGATACAGAGGTTAAAATTCTGGCTCGGGAGAAGAATTGGTTTGAGAGAGGAGTGAAAGAAGCCATTTTTGTGAGGAAACAGAAACCTTCTCTTAACAGAGGAGGAGGGTTAAGATTTGTTTTGCCTCGCATCTATGACGACATCCTAAAAACAACGCCCTAACTTGGGACAAGGTCAGTGACATGCTAATGAGTTAGGAAGGGTGAAACCTGCACTCCACTTGAGCATCCCAGCAGACAATAGGTCAGTGACATGCTAATGAGTTAGGGTCATTAGCCTCAGCAGGGTCGTTAGACCTGCTCCCTTCTACATCAAGCAGACCTTAGATTGTTTATGAGTTAGTATCAGGATTAGGGTGTGGCTTACCACACCCATAGGTTATAAATCTCCAACGCGCGGTCCGAGAATTCATTCCCTGAAGAAGTCCCCAGGTTGAGGACGAAACGTCGGGAAAACTTGCAGAAGTACAGATGATGGTGAGAAACCTTCCTTTGCTTTGACTAATCCCTGTACGACTGAGAGCTTACACAAACATAAACCTAAAATGGCTTTGGTGGTTTGGTGGAGGAGGAGGGGGGGGGGGGGGGGGGGGGGATGGGGGTTTAGAGTTGATGCTACAGCTAAGTTAACAGAATCACTTACTGCACCTTTAATTAGAAAAATATGCCTCAACAAGGGCCCTCTGTAAAATCCAAGACAAGTGACCTAATTTTAGCCGGCGCTTGTGTCATGTTCTGCTCTGATCAAGGATATGTGAGCAAAGGTACTGCTGCAGGGCTTCAGGAAACGGTTCTTGTCAACAGCTCACGGTCCAAAAGTAAAAGAATTCATGAGTGTGAGGAATGTTGTCATGGAGTGGATTTTATTTTGGCAATAGTTTGGTCTCTGGTTTCATTTGTTTTACTTCCTGTCCTGTTCCCGCCCTAATGTGTTTCACCTGTGTCTGTGTACCTGTGTCTCTCTGTGTCTATATGTACCTGTGTCTGTGTACCTGTGTCTATATGTACCTGTGTCTGTGTACCTGTGACTATATGTACCTGTGTCTCTCTGTGTCTATGTACCTGTGTCTCTCTGTGTCTATGTACCTGTGTCTCTCTGTGTCTGTGTACCTGTGTCTATATGTACCTGTGTCTGTGTACCTGTGTCTATATGTACCTGTGTCTCTCTGTGTCTATATGTACCTGTGTCTGTGTACCTGTGTCTCTCTGTGTCTATATGTACCTGTGTCTGTGTACCTGTGACTATATGTACCTGTGTCTCTCTGTGTCTATATGTACCTGTGTCTGTGTACCTGTGTCTATATGTACCTGTGTCTATATGTACCGATGGTCCCTCATGATGGTCCTTCATGATGGTCCTTCATGATGGTCCTTCACCTTACCATCAGAGCTCCATAGAGTTGTAAGAAGTAAAACACGAACCTTTGACCTCAGCGTTTATTGCCACATATTTTATATTGTAAAATGATAACTGCATTTTACCACAACTGCCATGTAACAGTTGGTGCTCATTGTTGAAAGAGTTTAACCCGTTTCTGGCTGGTAATTTTTGTTTTAGTCTTGGGAAAAAGTTCTTCACCAATCTCAACAAAAATACAACTCCCACATTTATGCTAGCTAGCGAAGAAATGCTAAGCTAAAGTCCATTATCTTTCATAGTAAATCAGTTCATAATGGAAAGTTTTACTATTGTCTGTGCGACTCTGAGAAGAATCCAAAGAATATTTAGAGTACATGACTTCTTATTATCGAGCTGATCTGATAAATTGTCAGTTTTTAAACTATGAATCGCTCCAAGTCGTCTACTTTGTGCCCAATTTCATTATGAGCTTAAAATGTCTTGATAACTGCTAATCGCTTCTTTCTGTCACGCTTCGTAATCTCCCCACTGTAAAAATGTGATGACATAATGTTCTGGCTCCTTTCTTTTTCTTTCATTCTCTAATGTGTGTAGTGTGTGTTCCATTTCCACCAGCCCTGCTCTGTTCTGCCCTGAGTCTACTCACTAAAAAGGTCATTGCGTAAATAAGAATTGTTAAAATGCTTGTGTTTTTTTGTTAAAGTACAGTATAGACCAAAAGTTTGGACACAGTTTTTTTTATTTCCATGATTATGAAAATGGCAGATTGACACTGAGGGTCTCAAACCTATGATGAACTCATGTGAATTATGTTCGTAGTAAAAAAGTATGAACCAAGTGTAAATATGTGTTTTATTCTGGTTCTTCAAAGTAGCTCCTTTTGCTCTGATACTGCTTCACTCTTGGCATTCTCTGGATGAGCTTCAACAGGACCTGAAATGGTCTCCAACAGTCTGGAAGGAGTTCCCATGATGCTTAGCACTTGTGGGCCCCTTCACTCTGTGGTCCAGCCCCAAAACCATCTGGACTGGGTTCAGGTCCAAAACCATCTGGACTGGGTTCAGGTCCAAAACCATCTGGACTGGGTTCAGGTCCAAAACCATCTGGACTGGGTTCAGGTCCAAAACCACCTGGACTGGGTTCAGGTCCAAAACCATCTGGACTGGGTTCAGGTCCAAAACCATCTGGACTGGGTTCAGGTCCAAAACCATCTGGACTGGGTTCAGGTCCAAAACCATCTGGACTGGGTTCAGGTCCAAAACCATCTGGACTGGGAACAGGTCCAAAACCATCTGGACTGGGTTCAGGTCCGGCCCTTACACAGCCTGGTGCGGGTCTACAGCAATAGTCATGAACAGATCTCAGTGAAGGAGAGAGGGTGTCCACACTTATGCTCTGTACTCTATGCAAAGTCGACAGCAACAATGGAAGAAGCAGCTGATTATCAGTTTATAAGCTCAAAACAACCATCTTTACAGATAGATTTATTTTTATTATAGCATTTGCATACACTTAATAACTAACTAAAGAAAGGTCATGTGTAATGAAGGAGGTAGAGCTGAGGCAAATGTGTACAATTTAGATTAAAATTCATGATAATTCAAGTATCACATAACACAAGGTCAAATATGCAAAAACATTAACTTATTACACGTACAAAGTTAATGAAATAAGCATGAATAGTCAAAGCACTATTCCCTTTAGAGAAGACGTCCGATGCATGTGTTGTCGTTACGTCTCGGTGCCTCAGGGTGTTTCTTTCATTGACCTGATAGTTTATCTTCCCAGATGAGTCCACACTGTTCTCTGTAATGAGGTTCTGCTGAAGACCTCTGGCTCTGTTTACAAATCCCAGGATCGCAGAGATTTGTCGGTGCACATTCAGAAGGAGAAGGTTTGAGACCA